CTGTAATATCATCAGGATGCGTTATGTGCTGCAGGTGATGCTTATACGCTAGCTCATATCTCTACTTACAAAATACTTTGTTAATATAAATTATTAGGAGATAATCACATGGAATAAACGTACTAAATATTGTATTAGTATTAAACTCTTTTCAGATATAGTTCTGTTATCCCAAAAATAGGACCGTTGCCCCCGTTACCTAGATTGTGCAATTAATGAGACACAATACTGGTGCATCCAGTCCATGGTCTCTAGTTCACAGGCACACACACTACAAACTGGTAGATTGAACGTTTGCTTAGTTATGGATAATACTAAAACTAGCGCATAATTTAATTTTCTTAATGTTCGAATAACGTAAATTTTTAATGGGGGACGCGATGAACTATGAAAAAGAATGCGGTGGCCGTTATGCTTCACTTCCTTTAAAATATATCCAGTAACAGTGATCACTCGCACTTAAGTTATTTTCTCAGACTTAATTATATTTAATATATATCATCAAATTTATTAATCCGATGTAACATACCATAGTCACCATAACCATGTAAATAACTTTTCTTATATTCATGGTCCTCATAAGAACAATCGATTTTTGCAATTTTTTCATAGATGCATGGGGTATTGAAACTAATTTGTTTTCAAATTTTACAAATTGATGTATAGAAGGCCAGCAACAATAGAGACGGGAACCCACGAGTTTGGCTTCGAATTCATCCTGCCTGTTGAGGCGCCCTCATCTTTCGAGAGCCCTCACAGCTACGTTAGGTACAAAGTCAAAGCCCTCGCCAAGCTGCCCTCGGCATCTGACAAGAAAGCTGAAACTTATTTCTCCTTCTGCCAGCCCTACGACCTAAACCGCGACCGTGCTGCCCGGGTAAGCATTTGTCAATGTGTGAAATCTGACGAATAAAAATTATGAAAGTAATGGATCATCAATATTATAAACCGTTGCATTTAAGGGGAGCTTCTGCCCAAAAATCTAAAATTTTGACTTTTTCGGTATTATACTTATCTTAAAACTTACATTCTGACGCATAGAACGGTACCAAAACCATCTCTGTACGTTGATTTATGCGTTCACGAAAAATCGCGAAAGGGTTATGGTTGGTGGAGTTCTTTCACGTTTAAGATAGGCTGAAATTACTGGCAGTACACTTAAATAGCTAGTCTGAACACGCTGTGCTTCAGTTATCCGCCTGCAGTCGTATGGGATTGTTTTCGTGCCGTCGTTCGCACCATCCTTGACAGAAATTGAGCTCCAGTATCGTCTAGTCTTGCAACCTTGCACTCTTGAATGTCTATTTCGAGGCGTCGCGACTTTGTCGGGCTCTACTGAAATGTTAGCTTATTGTCACTGCAAACCCTAAATCTCCTCCTAGAGTTTTGAAGCTACATCAATGAGAGATAGATATACCATTCGAATCGCAAATAAAATAAATACAAATGATGCAGACTTTTTTCTAATCTAATTTCGTTATAGTTTGGATTTTATTCTGCAAAAAAGGGGGGTGGCGGGGATGAAATGAAAAAATTTCCGAAAAATTAATGAAAAATACTCCCATACTCACAAAAACGAGAATTTCAAAAAAAACCGTCTGCATCAGGTTTAGATATGGTTTTTACGCGTCTAATGATATGTGTCTCGATGTTGTAGCTTAAAAATCCTAGGAGGAGATAGATTTCAACAGTACCCCCTTTTTGTCCGTTTTCTACTAATTTCACGTTTTCTTTCATTTGTTTCGAAAAATTTACACGAACAAAAAAGTCTAAGAATTCCTTTTACATACGTGTACCAAATTTCGAATCGATCCGTCGATAAATAACTGAGATAAATTTTGGGGCAGACGCTCCTAATCAGATCTAAAAAACGTTCCATTTTAGATCCAAAAACCGTTGCATTTTAGATCTAAAAACCGTTTCATTTTAGATCTAAATACCGTTCCATTTTAGATATTAAATAGTTGGATTTAAATTCCAAAAACGTTGGATATTAGCGTTTGTAAATCTGGTTACAGGAATATTTCGCTCTGCGTAAGGAGCTGAGTTGGGGCCTCAGGCCCCTGAAGCACGGGCCTGTCACGCTGGATCTGCAGAGCGCCAGCAAAGCGAGCGTCTGTGGGGCGCTGCTGCAGATCCAGGCCAGCGTCCGCAACGCCGGCCACTCCGACGTCACCGTTAAGGTGGCGATGAAGCAGGTGAGAGGGAATAAAGATCGGCAGCGCGAGGAAGTTTGTAAGTGAAGAGTAGAAATATAGGCAATAATAGAGGCAAGTAATTATAATGCTGCAGTTTATTGATGGAAGAAAATTTTACGAATGTAATAGAATGGCATTATTCAAAAAATATAACTCAGAACTCACTGCAGTGAGTGACAGAGAGCGCATTTTCTCGTTGACGAAAACGTGAAGTCACGGAGGGACAGACAGACGGACGGACATGCCGAGCACAATAGTGCATTTTTTCATAAATGAGAAAATGCGCTAAAAATGGTGCGTAAAAAATAATGGCAAATTTAATAGACAAAAATTATACCGGACATACAAGACAAATATTTTCAGAACAACTATGGAAAAATATTTTGTGCATCATATAATGAGCATTAACAACATTTGAAAAGAGCAGATGATAATCAATTGGCAAGCAAAAATGAAAAATATATTATCGCGAACAATGGAACGAGCTAGGGAACATTACTTAAAATAAATTCAGTGTGGGAAAGTATGTTCTTCGTCAATACTTAGGATAATAATGAATAATCAAAATAATATATAATAAAAATGATAATCAAGGTCAATAATCAAAATAATTCTGTAAGTAAATGCTTTCTGTTAATATTGAAGATCAGTAAAATCATTTTTAAAAGCTATTGGAGCACGTATAACACTCATAAGGCAGCTCTGTATAGTGACCGATAATGGTGAGTTTGCTCAAACGAAGCTTGAATATAAATGAATCTTTTAACTGGTTTTCCAATTGGGTATTGGCTCAATTTCACGCGTATTTCATTCGTGAATTTTGAAGTAAAAAATGTTGATTAAAACTTGCAAGCAAATTAATAAATTCATTCAAAAGGCTCAGCTTGTTGCATCAACCGTTGTTCACTAGTTTAATGCAACTGTTTAGATTTTAATTCATGATACCTAATACTATTCCCAAATTACTTTTCTGATTGCTTTCTCCTCAACTTCTCTACTGGAGAAAATTGAAGCCACAGAATTTAGAGTCAGTCTATTTTAATGCACTATTGAATATTTACATTTAAGAGATATTGGTAATGAAAGAATTCATTTTGTACTACTTGCTATTTTTCCGTATTGTGTTTATACATATTTGTGCTCAAGATTGTGCTTGTACTTGCCTGCAGAGGCTCGAGTACATTACCAGTCATAGAACGAAGTACCAAACGCGCTTGGTATGGCAAGCAGATGATTTCACTTGCCCTCGAGACTCCAGTGACGCTCGTGACTTCGAGTTTGTGATCCCTTCGTTGGTGCCACACTTACTGACCTGCAATATCATCAGGATGCGTTATGTGCTGCAGGTGATGCTTGTATGCTAGATCATATCTATACTTACCAAATACTTCAACAAATATTACTAGGTTCAAAAATATGTTGTCCGTCATATAGTATATCTCTTTTAACTTATAAGACGAGCTATGTTGTCTGATCAGTAAAATAAAACGATCAATACCGCACAGGTATAGCTTTACCTAATATACTTCAATCATATAGATTTGATATGTACAATTTCAGGTATGTAAAATTTGTACAAAAACTACAATCAGTTGAATGTACAATTTTAAAACTTTAAATTTTATTAAAATTTGTTTTAAATTGAGAGCTATGGGCAATAATCCATCTCTTAATGTTACATTATTAACAGATTGATTGTAAATTTCCGCAATGTTATGCGCTGAGAACATATCATTCGTCATGTGCTATTTTCACAGATGATTAAGAAGAAGATTGTCCGGTTTTTTATTGCCGAAAAATAATTATCAGGGAGTAAGTAAGAGTATGAGGAACGATTCTTGTGCTTATTTAATTGGCGGAACTTTCTAGTTTTATACCTAATTTCACAACTTACCTGCAGCTGAAAAGCACCAGCAAGTTGTGCAAGTCATTAAGAGCGGAGGCTCCATTCTACCTCGGCACGGTGCCTCTCATCTCCGAAGAAGAGCTGGCCAGGTAAATAGTTGGTAAAATTTAATATAGGAGTTTTCACATGACACGCGAGTCAAAAAATATCAAAATTAATATATAAGCACAACAATGAAACTTGTACATGAAGCTGTTAAAAATCTATGCCTGCTCACAATTTTTTGTTCACACTGTGAATGTATGTCATTGAGTGAAAAGCGAAGTCGAACCAAAGCGCTATTGAACGTCAGAATTATCATTCTTACTTCTTCTAGCTTGGGTGCAATTTACTGTTATAGGCTAAAGATTTATTCAATTTCAGAACTTGGCTGCCAAACACCGAAGGACAGCCATATGAGTCTTATAATTACCCAGAGAAATTTGGTTCAGAACAACAAAAGACCGACTCAGAAAAATGCCCTGGGAAACTCGGTTCAGCAGTACAGCAGGGTGACTCAGAAAAATACCCTGGGTCACTCGTTTCACAATCACAGCATTTTAAATCAAGCGAATACCCTGCGAAACTCGGTTCCGAAGATCAGCGGAACGATTCAGGCAAATACCTTGAAGCACTCGGTTCAGAAGAACAGCGGAATGACTCAGGCAAATACCTTGAAGCACTCGGTTCAGAAGTAAAGCAGAACGATCCAGGCAAATATCCTGGGGCACTCGGTTCAGAAGAACAGCAGGACGACTCAGGCGAATACCCAAAGCTACTCTGTGCAGAGGTGCAGAGTGTCTTTGGCATCCCAGCTATCGTAGCAGTGGACACTTGCTTCTTCAGTTCTCTGCACAAAACTTTACAACGGCACCGACTTGACACAAAATGCCCACCCCCAAACTTTATCGTTCTACCTAAATAATAGTGGCGCAATTGAAACGAAATATTTGAAACTTTATATGCAGGTATTTTTTAGTATGTTGTTGGAGTTCCACGGAATTGCCAACTCGCTTACATAATTAAAACACTTTAGTGCACACCAACACCAATAACATACTTTATGCGAATAAACTCCATGGAACGTTAAACCGTAGGTTGTTTCTTTCTGATCCGTGCTACGAGATTGAAATTAACTCCTGAGGTTTGAGCCTAAATCTTGACGTTTGAGATTCAGTCTTGGCATTTGAGGCGTTCCTAATGAAAGGGAATAAGATAAATAAATAACAATCACCTAGACATTAGATATATTCTACATTCATATCACATAATATAAGTATTAAAAAACTATTCCTTAACTATTATTTACAAATTCGCATTAGATCCCTGCGGCCTGCACAACACATACCTGCGGTCCGGCTTTCCATGCAACAATAATCATGGAACCTTAGCATTCCGCACATTTCTGCCGGTAAAGTCTAAACTAAAACGGCAAACAAAATTTCGAATAATGAACAAGTTCTAAAATGAGCGTTACCGACTCTTAATGCTAAATTAATAATATTTGGAGATTTCAGTCCCTTGCAATGTATTTTCAATTCTCCAGTGTGTCAAAATCGGTGTTCAATGTTGATCGAAATACATCAATGTCTTTCAGCGGAATTTATCAACATGTTTCGGAAATATGTTCGTATTTAATTCTTTTATTATCGATTAATTCTTTATATAATTATCGATTTAATTCTTTACATACTTTGCTGTTCTGTCATACTATACGTCAATTTGGCTCTAGAATATGCTTGATGAACATTTTAAATTTTTAGAAAAATCAGTTTTAAAGGAATTTTTTGTAAACGTTTTCGCGCATAATTAAGAATATACCAAAAATCACAAAATGGTAGCTTCAAAAGTTGACAACCTCCCATTTTAATCATGTATGTGCAAATGTTATTAGAATAATTGATATATGTTCGCTTTTCTGCCAAAGAGATGAAAGGGAATAAAAAATGGTCATGTATTATTTAGCAGAAACTGAAAATCGTTGATTTTAAAAGAATGAAAAAATATTTTGTAACAAAACTTAATGTAAACCGAAATTTAGAATTAGATAATTTTCCAGTTTTAAAATTTAATTTTTTAATTGTTTGTTATAATAAGCTAAGTATTTTTGAGACTACGAAGTAAAAAAACTTGAATCGTACGGCATAATGAAGAAAATGAAAACAATGTATTCGTAGCATTCAGGTTCAGATTAAATCTGAGTTAAAAGTGCATCGCTTTTAGAGTGAATAAAGCTAGAATAGTGTGACCTTTCATTCCCGTTGCACTCTGTCATCTTGATGAAGCCTCCATGCCTGGAATTTCCATGCTTAATTTCATGCATAATTACCCATAAACATGATGATGTGGGCTTTCGCGTAAATATGCAGCGAATAAGACGATGGTGATATTCAATGAACATGTTTGATGATGATATCTTTATAAAATAATTGGTTGAAATGTACGTTTTTCTAATTGCTTACATAATACAAAACAATATTATTGGCCTTAATTTGCTCACTGACCCGAATGGTTATTACAAATGTTTAACTTTGTTTCAGAAGTGAAATGACTTTTGCATAATCAAGTGAGTTAAATTCACGGCACATTAAATCTTCCATCACTAGAAGTCCCAAGTCGACTTGTTTGATGCAAAGCAGGTTTTCTTTTATACGAGACTTTCATCTCTGTAGATTATTTGAGTCAAATTGTTTGATTACACGCCGGTCTTCCCCGAAAAGAAACTAATATTCTCTCAATTATCAACTCAAATCAATTATTTGACATGGAGCGGTTTTTCTTTGATTTCCGAATTATGTTGCCTTCATTAAAATTGAACAGAGACGTTTCAAATTTTTTAATACATGTGTATATGTAACAGAACAAAACAAATCAAATTATCTTATCAGTAAAATCACGTTACACAACGCCTTATATCGAGGAACACAAGGAAACTAATTACACTTCGAAGTTGCACTCTAGAAGTAGGAGACGAATATCATACAGATTCGGAGGCTTGCAAAGTGAAATACAGTAGGAGGCTTGCTAAGTGAAATTTGAACTTTTATGACATGAATTTAGTTGAAAATTCATGCGAAGCTGGAAAGATGATTGTTCTTCAGCCCGTGCATGTCGAATTTACCCTAGAATGAAAGGTTAATTCGAATGGAGACAATAATGGCTGTACTGAACACGCACCCGTAATTACTATTGAAAAGGGGTTGTAATAATCCCACGCCATAAAAATTCGAGACTGCGGATATAGCAAGATGTAAGTACATGGAATAGGTTCAAATTTCTAGATATGACTCATCTACTAATATTTAATATTATGTCAAGTTTGATCATTGAACTATCCTCGTCCAGAACTCCAGATCATAAGCCTCTGGACAACTCATCAATTTCATGATAACATTTCTTATCCCCCAGGTCACCCTGGTACTTATTACACAAAGAAATTCATGAAAAACCTCGGGATATTTACTCCCTATATTAGCCTGCTACGCCATGCAGGTTAACCTTCCATTCCATGTTATCCGATAATAAAATAGTCACAAACAACCTGCATGGGAGCGTTGGATTGCTCTGTCATGGTATTTTTTGCAAAGCTTTATCGTGTTTATGGGTTATGGTATTGATATGTTAGATAAAATTTAATTTTCTCAGCTCCCATTCATGTACGTAACTAGTTAGCTTGATACGTATCATGAATAACATCATATTTGACCTGCTCATCTGCGGATGCAAATTTAGTAGAAATGTTGTTATGTTTGTGTAATCAAATGTATAATCACGTGGTGCATCGAGTAATTATACGTATAATTACATGGTGCATTGTGTAATCACACGTGAGGTGACGTACCACAAAGACAGCATGCAATCAAGATATAAGATACAATCGATAATGTACGCTGATAACACAGATATATAAATTTCCGCCTAAATGTTTTCAACGAAAGACATCATATACACATGTTCACTTAGTTGCAAGATACCAAGGAAGCTAAGCAGTTTAACGTGCAATCATTTCCACATTTTTTTTTACTTATGAATTTAACTGACGTTATACAGCTAGCAGAGCTCTCACCATGGGGGTGGCGTCTTTTACCATAGAACTTCGTCCAGAATTACCGGTGTACTTCGCGGGCCAAATTATCAGCGGTGTTGTTAAAGTCGTCACTGACTCGCCTGTTCCCTGCAAAGGTAAACACATAAGTTTATTTTATCCGTCCATTAAATTGAAAATAGGAAACCAAAGGTAAAGAAAACTACGATTTTGTTGAATTTTTGTGAAGTAGCATTCCGATTAAGATATTAACTGAAATTAAAAATATTAATTACGTAATTATTTAACAGATGAACCACCAGTTGAGCACGAATATCATAATTTATTTCCGAGATTTTTGTTTGTTAAGAAATTGTTAACCAGCGTTAACAATTGTGTTAATGAATGCAAAATGTTCAACTATGAACACGGTCTGCAGTTAACAAATTGCGTCATTCCCTTGACATGTGCGTGTGATTACTCGGAGTGATGAACAAACAACAATCGCGGAATTGCCTTAAAACTGAACAATTTAAGATAGCTTTCTGGGCCCATACTTTAAAAAAAGTTAAGAGATCGTAAGTCCATCAGCCAATCATTGACGGCCACGCAAGCAAAATCCACCAATCATAGACCAGAAAATAGAGCGTAAGTACTTACGTTCACTTAGCGAGTTTTGAAAGTATGGCCCCTGGATTTTATTTTCGAACAAATTATATGCAAGTTGCGCATCGTGCAGGCTCGATTTTTGAGCGAATATTGCATTTACTGCTCCAAGGTTTTATGCCGGAGCTTTCATCTTCTCAGTATTCAGCGATTTCACAATTTGTGTCTTATTTTATATTTTAATAAGTTTTTCTATTAACTTCCCCCTAAAATAGTTTCGGAGTGTTTTTTCACTCATATGTAATATTGGTGTAAATGCTTAAAAATTCAGAGTTTTTTTTCATCGTATCAAATATGCAGAAGTTATAATTCTCTTCTCCAAGGGCTCTGAGATATTTGGCTTATCATCCCAAACGAAATAAAAAATTTCAAGTATGACAATGTTTGAATTTCTTACTTACTATTACATATCTTTTAAAATAAAAATAATAGGCAATGTAATAGAATAATGAATCATTCGTTCAATATGGATTTTAAAACGGGATCAGATAGTTGACCGTATTTAATTCTTAATAACTTCTCAATTTCTATCATTGGTAACAAAAAAATTCCGCATCATTGATTCATAAATCAACTTTATTATCTGCTCATTTAAATCCCTTCATCATCCGACAGATCTGAAGGTAAAATGCCATGGTAAAGGCAAGGTGTACTGGAGAGAAACTAGAAGTGGGTTTTCGAAGAATTTTGAGGACAAAGAAGAGTATTGGGAACAAGAGCTTGCTCCATCTTCTCCAGAAAGTGAGTGATGCATTTGAATTTTTCTCGTGAGCGCAGTTTTGTCAAATTTCCAAGTCGAAATTGATACTTGCAATCAGTTCATTCAAGTTAGATTTATTCTATAATACCACAGACGAGTACTTGAATTTTTTGGGATTAAGTGCTTGAATTTTTTTAGTACTTGATTTTTTTTAGGATTAAGTACTTGAATTTTTTTAGTACTTGAATTTTTTAGGATTAAGTACTTGAATTTTTTTAGTACTTGAATTTTTTAGGAACTAAGTTGATCTGTCTCTGCGGTATTCACTCATGAGCATATATTACTCTTGAATCATTCATGAAACTGATTTTGATTCTATAAAAAATCTATCAGTCACAATATCCTTCAAATTTTTCAATTTTAACACACTACAGGCTTAAAAATTTACATACCTTGTTCAAAGATAAAATCACTTACCTAAAATCATACGGAATAATGATTTGATCTAATAATAATGTGGGTTTGCAAGTCAGATGCTCGTTTCATTCGTTCGGAAGCCTGGCCAGCAACAATAGAGACGGGAACCCACGAGTTTGGCTTCGAATTCATCCTGCCTGTGGAGGCGCCCTCATCTTTCGAGAGCCCTCACAGCTACGTTAGGTACAAAGTCAAAGCCCTCGCCAAGCTGCCCTCGGCATCTGACAAGAAAGCTGAAACTTATTTCTCCTTCTGCCAGCCCTACGACCTAAACCGCGACCGTGCTGCCCGGGTAAGCATTTGTCAATGTGTGAAATCTGACGAATAAAAATTATGAAAGTAATGGATCATCAATATTATAAACCGTTGCATTTAAGGGGAGCTTCTGCCCAAAAATCTAAAATTTTGACTTTTTCGGTATTATACTTATCTTAAAACTTACATTCTGACGCATAGAACGGTACCAAAACCATCTCTGTACGTTGATTTATGCGTTCACGAAAAATCGCGAAAGGGTTATGGTTGGTGGAGTTCTTTCACGTTTAAGATAGGCTGAAATTACTGGCAGTACACTTAAATAGCTAGTCTGAACACGCTGTGCTTCAGTTATCCGCCTGCAGTCGTATGGGATTGTTTTCGTGCCGTCGTTCGCACCATCCTTGACAGAAATTGAGCTCCAGTATCGTCTAGTCTTGCAACCTTGCACTCTTGAATGTCTATTTCGAGGCGTCGCGACTTTGTCGGGCTCTACTGAAATGTTAGCTTATTGTCACTGCAAACCCTAAATCTCCTCCTAGAGTTTTGAAGCTACATCAATGAGAGATAGATATACCATTCGAATCGCAAATAAAATAAATACAAATGATGCAGACTTTTTTCTAATCTAATTTCGTTATAGTTTGGATTTTATTCTGCAAAAAAGGGGGGTGGCGGGGATGAAATGAAAAAATTTCCGAAAAATTAATGAAAAATACTCCCATACTCACAAAAACGAGAATTTCAAAAAAAACCGTCTGCATCAGGTTTAGATATGGTTTTTACGCGTCTAATGATATGTGTCTCGATGTTGTAGCTTAAAAATCCTAGGAGGAGATAGATTTCAACAGTACCCCCTTTTTGTCCGTTTTCTACTAATTTCACGTTTTCTTTCATTTGTTTCGAAAAATTTACACGAACAAAAAAGTCTAAGAATTCCTTTTACATACGTGTACCAAATTTCGAATCGATCCGTCGATAAATAACTGAGATAAATTTTGGGGCAGACGCTCCTAATCAGATCTAAAAAACGTTCCATTTTAGATCCAAAAACCGTTGCATTTTAGATCTAAAAACCGTTTCATTTTAGATCTAAATACCGTTCCATTTTAGATATTAAATAGTTGGATTTAAATTCCAAAAACGTTGGATATTAGCGTTTGTAAATCTGGTTACAGGAATATTTCGCTCTGCGTAAGGAGCTGAGTTGGGGCCTCAGGCCCCTGAAGCACGGGCCTGTCACGCTGGATCTGCAGAGCGCCAGCAAAGCGAGCGTCTGTGGGGCGCTGCTGCAGATCCAGGCCAGCGTCCGCAACGCCGGCCACTCCGACGTCACCGTTAAGGTGGCGATGAAGCAGGTGATGTGCGGGAATGAAGATCGCGAATAAAGGTCTTTCGTAGACGAGAGTTAGAAGTAAATTAGAAAGCCATCTTTAGCAAAGAAAATAACTGGAATGAATGAAGTGGATAAGTAAAACGATAAAATTGGCTTGCAAAAGGCGTAAAAGTGATGAACAAAAAAAGTAGTAAAGCATGAAAGTCTGGTTGATTAAGCAAGAAAGCATTCCTATGCCAATTTTTATACTCAGTCATAGACCGAATTGCATTTGGAATAAGTGTAATCCAATTTCTTTTCGTCTTGTTCATTAAAAATATTCCAGCCAGTAGCAGGACCGCTATTTACCAATGGTACCCAATTCTTTGCATACAATATTGCACGTGCCGAGTAGTGTTCAGTACGAAACCTGACACGCAGAATTTGAATCAAAATTCGACTCGAGATTGTAACGAAAATTTTTGTATAAATGATTTTTTCAGTTCATATTAAAGGAATTCAATTTATGCCACGCTTCATTTGCCGTAATACTGCAGCGCAGTGCTAGGATTGTCAGGTTTCACATTTGTGCTGAAGATGTCGCCTTTTCTTGCCTGCAGAGACTCCAGTACATCAGCCGTTCCAAAACTAAGCACCAAACGCGCTTGGTGTGGCAGACGGACGCGTTCACTTGCCCTCGAAGCTCCAGCGACGCTCGTAACTTCGAGTTTGTGATCCCTGCGGTGGTGCCACACTTACAGTACTGTAATATCATCAGGATGCGTTATGTGCTGCAGGTGATGCTTATACGCTAGCTCAAATCTCTACTTACCAAATACATTGTTAATATAAATTATTACGAGATAATCACATGGAATAATCTTATTAAATATGGCATTAGTATTAAACTCTTTTCATATTTAGACCGTTATCCCAAAATTCAAGTTAGCCCATTCAAGTTAGCCCGTTATCACCGTTGCCTCCGTTACTTAGATCGTACTATCTGGACGGCTGCTAACCATTCCCACGTTATGTAATTAATGAGACACAATACCGCTGCATCCAGTCTATGGTCCCTAGTCCACAGGCACTCACACCGCAAACTGATAGATTGAACGTTTCCTTAGTATGGGATAAAACGTACTATAAATCGAATATAATTTAATTTTCGTAATATTTGAATACCGTAATATTTTAATTACGGTATTCAATCTTAATTTTTGTAATATCAATGCGATGGACAATTAAAAAATGTGGTGGCTGTTGTGCTTTACTTTCTATAAAATATATCCAGGAACTTTGATCACTCCCACTTAAGTTATTCATTCTCTCAGACATGATTATACTTAATAAATATCATCAAATTTATTAATAGGAATGTAAAATACCTTAGTCTCCCATGACCATGTGAATAACGGTTCACATATTCATTGTCCTCATAAGAACAATCGATTTTTGCAATTTTTTCATAGATGCATGGGGTATTGAAACTAATTTGTTTTCAAATTTTACAAATTGATGTATAGATAAAGACGAGCTGCACCTTGGCGAAGTCGTTGAAAATTGAGGCGCCGTTCTTCCTAGGCACGATACCTCTCCTGAGGGAAGAGCACTTCGCCAGGTAAATCAGATGGAATTTCAATTTAGGTGTTTATAATGACCTCATGAGTCCAGAGATTAGCTCTTTGGCGACCAGCTACCTTGCGAGTGCAAAATACTACATTGCATCCATACAACATTGCTGAAATTAATTCATTAAGAAAAACCCTGGCCAGCGACCAAATCTCTACTGAGCATGGTGCAGCCTGAAATTATGGTCAATATATTTGTCCAAACGGGCGAATGAGCTTCAAACGTAAACAAAAATGGTCATAATGAAATGCGACAGATAGGTACAGCTAGACGCTAAGGGCGAAGAAAATTTTACGTTACAGATATTTTCAATGTTTCAAGTATTACAATGATTTTTATTGAGTTTCATTCTCAGAACTAATATTTCAGAGCAACTTGATCATTTTAGACTCCCTACAAAAATTTCATATCGACATCTTTCTTTAGTCAGTGTTAGCTTGGTAATTGCAAAGAACAATGTGAAATAAGCTGGATGCCAAAATGCCTCATCGGTCTAATAAACTTTCAGTTCGTGGGAACCCAGCATCCCAAGACCTCGTGACAAATTCACCGTAACCCACGGTAGCAAGAGCTTGAATGACCAGTCAGGCAAGAACTCAGATGTCCGAGGCGCAGAAGGAAAATCAGGAAGCTCAGGCAGGCACTCAGAAGCCCGCGGTGCAGAAGGACAGTCAGGAGGCTCAGGAAAGCACTCAGAGGCCCGCGGTGCAGAAGGACAGTCAGGAGGCTCAGGCAAGCACTCAGAGGCCCGCGGTGCAGGACAGTCAGGAGGCCCAGGCAAGCACTCAGAGGCCCGCGGTGCAGAAGAACACTCAGGAGGCTCAGGCAAACACTCAGAAGCCCGAGGTGCAAACGGACTGTCAGGAGGCTCAGGTAAACACTTAGAGGCCGGCGGTGCAGGACATCCGGGCAACTGTGGCAAATACTTAGAGGCCTACTATGTAAAAGGACAGTCGAATGATTCAGGCGAATACTCAGGAGATTTTGGTCTTGTAAGGCATTTGCCCAACTCAAACAATGGCCACTCAGTTGAGGTGTCCGTCGGCACTTGCTTCTTCAGCTCACTGCACACAAATTTGCATCCTCAACGCCTCAACACGAAATGCCCTCCACCCAATTTTGTCATTCTACCAAACCTTAATNGCGTTATAAACACTCACGGGCGTTCACTCTTGCTCACCGCTGCGCAGAAAAAGAAGACAAAGTTTTCAACTGAGTTACTAGAACCCTTGGCCTCAACTGATCTAATCTTGGAATTGCTCAGGATGAGTCTTAATAAATTCGAGTGTTTTTTTCAATAAAATTCAACGGCTAAATATATTCAGGATTTTCATGTACTGACGAGCTAATTAATGTTATTAATGACTATATATATGGATAGAAAATGTTTTTATGTATTGAAAAATTATTCTCGTCTCAGAAAAGCGTTCAATATAAATCCAGACAAATGTATTTTTGTGGTTCCCACACTCTAATTTTTATTCAATAAGATTTGTCTCACAAATTTCAAAGCGAAACAAGCGTTACTTCATCCATTATTGTGCACTGGATGCTATATATGACATCAGCTGTGTGTCTGTGCGCCATGAATACGAGCACTTTCTGTGGACAACATACTACATTTATTTACGAATTCGATGTTCATAAGGGTTGCAATACCTCCAAGCTTCACATCTTCTACAAGGATTTATCGGAATTCCTTTCGAGGATCATGAAACATTAACTCTATTTCTTACCATTTTTCAGTGTTCCAAATGAAGATAAATTCTGCTCGATATTTCGACGGCGTAGTCTTGGGATAGTAGTTGACGAAATTTAGGACCAGCGACCTGCCGGCACTTTCAAAAACCCGACCTGGGGAGATGTCTCGGCCACAAAAGCTGAGCAAAAACACAATAAATACATTCATAAGTTGCACAAACTTACACACTTGAAGTCCAAGACTAAATTTTCCTAACATTTTTTGTAACAAAGTTGGGCCTATAATGTTCTACATGGTATTATATGTTGATACTGTTACTGTTCTCTACTGTATCAATGTATTAAACGCATGATATAATTTGCAACGAATCAAGTATTTCGGATTCATTTTTATTCCCAGCATTTTAATGGTATGACTCAATACCAGAAATTTATATGCGATAATAACAATCCAATCGGCATAGCGCACCGGAAAATGGAAAATGCTGCCAAGATATAACTAATAGATATAATTGTGCTTTAATGAAGTAGTAAATTGGTCGGTCAGACATGCCTGTTATAGATTGAGGAGGTCGTCCTAAGAAAGTATAGATAATATGGATAACGGTGCCATTCAGATAACGACCTGTTAAATTTCATGCCGCCAATGCATAATTTTCTCTTAGTTTGTTGTCATTTACCATATTATATCAATTATAAGCACTGCGTACAATTTCATTTTTTAACCTCTGCGTTTCTATATTATGATATTATGAGCATGAGATAAACATGAGATGATCATGAGGTGATTGTGAAGTAATTACGAAATGATCATGACTTGATTATGAGATCATCGTGAGAAGATAATGATGATGAGATGATAATGAATTGATTTTGAGATTATCATGAAAAGATGATCAAAAGATGATCATGAGATGCTACGACATGATTATGAGACGATCAGGACTTACACCCAAGTTTGTCATTCTACCAAACCTAAATGCATAAACAACAAAACACTATTAAAATTAGATGCATAAATAGCATAATTAAATTAAAATTAAATGCATAAATAACATAATTAAATTACAATTAAATGCATAAATAACATAATTACTGACACGTTGGAGTCCAGCGGTGGGTCCTGGAGGCGCAGCGTGAGGCCCTGGTAGAGGCACGGCACAAGGTTTACGGGGCGCATAACATAAATTAATTAAAGTTAAATGCATAAATAACATAATTACTGACACGTTGGAGTCGATAGGTGGGTCCTGGAGGCGCAGCGTGAGGCCCTGGTAGAGGCACGGCACAGGACTGTCGGGACGCTGCATGAGGACAAACTCTGAGAACACCAACTGCACCTTGTGGCACTCCGGGGCCTTCAGCTCCTGGATGTACTTGCCCGTCCCTGGTACGTTGGAATATCAAATGATAGCACATGTGTACTGAAGTATCTCCTGGTACCTGTCTCTTATACACATCTAGATGTGTATAAGAGACAGTTCTAATACTTCATTGTTGTGCATTGTTAATTAATCACGTTCATTCCGTGAGATTTGAGAAAGAGACATGCAATTACACTATAACATCGNGTAAGTTGTCGGGAAAGCCTGGCGAGGAGATCACGCCCGGTGTCGTGAAACGCGCACTGTGTGGGAAGCGCTCCTTCACCAGCGTCTCTGTGAGACCACGGAAAACTTCAGGGTAATATATCATCCAAGTCAAACTTTAGGGTAATATATCATCCAAGTCATACTTCAGGGTAATATATCATCCAAGTCATACTTTAGGGTAATATATCATTCAAGTCAAATTTCAGCGTAATATATCATCCACGTAAAACTTTAGGGTAATATATCACCCAAGTCAAACTTCAGGGTAATATATCATCCAAGCCAAACTTCAGGGCAATATATCATCCAAGTCAAACCTTAGGGTAATATATCATCCAAGTCAAACTTTAGGGTAATATGCTGTATCATCTAAGTCAAACTTCAGGGTAATATATCATCCAAGTCAAACTTCAGGGTAATATATTATCCAAGTCAAACTTCAGGGTAATATGTCATCCAAGTCAAACTTCAGGGTAATATATCATCCAAGTATCCAAGTCAAACTTAAGGGCAATATATCATCCAAGTCAAACTTTAGGATAATATATCATCAAAGTCAAACTTTAGGGTAACATATCATCCAAGTGAAACTTCAGGGTAATATAACATTCAAGTTAAACTTCAGGGTAATATATCATCCAAGTCAAACTTCAAGGTAATATATCATCCAAGTCAAACTTCAGGGTAATATATCATCCAAGTCAAACTTCAGGGTAATATATCATCCAAGTCAAACTTTAGGGTAATATTTATTTCTGCAACAGGCTTCATTGCAACATTAAGTTAAATTACAATAAATTACTTGTGCAGCGGTACTGGAGGTTGACGAGTTTCAGATCCCAGAAGGAGAAGTCAGCGCGGTTGCCCAGAAGAGATTCTGCCAAAGGGTTCTTCGGCACGATGGTGGAAAGGCCATTTTTTGAGAAATACTGCAAAAATTTTTAAAACAACTATGTACGCTGGAACTGATTCAATGTAAAATAAAGTGCAGAATTTCAATCAAAAGTCGTAAATTGTGAACTTGTCGAATCTTTTGTTCACTCACTTACATTACGCTCGCTTATAGTATAAAATACTCCCACTGTTTTAATTGAATCGCCAAACAATTATTTTTGGGTACACAATATCCTTGCAAGATAAAAAATAACTTATCAATAATCCTTTTACAAAATTCTACATTCATAATCATCTCACAAAAATCGCTCCACACGAGGTTCGGCCGTTAATTAGGTATGATTAATCCCTGATTTTTGGTAAGTAGCTAAGTCACACTAAGTTTTTTCTATACGCTGCCCTGTCAAACACTGGACATTGCATCATTTTAGCGTGCGCTCACCCTGTCAAATTTTACCTCGAACCGGTAAATTTTTATTCAAAGCTGCAATGTAAAAGTTGATATTAAAAAGGTGTTGAAAGGGGCTATTTTCGTCATAGACTATGACACATAGGTTTGTGAGTAAGCCTACATCATCAGATTGGAAAAATCTGATAAATTACCTGATTTCACGGCACGTACACCTTCCGATCATGTAAAACAACTTCACAGAATTGCATGCACTAACAATCAAAATCTAAAAAATTTTCATTACATTCACATTTTAAATTTTATTTATTAAATTCACATTTTAAATAATTAAAATGAGATTGTAATATTTCCTGGAGTGTCTGCAACCGAACGACTGACGGTTAGGGTATGCTTGGTGCATCAATCAGAGTTGAACTCGTGTATACTCACGGAACTTCCATAATTCATTTTAATCAGAGTTGAATTCGTGTATACTCACGGAACTTCCATAGTGCATTAACGAAAAATAATCATACGGAACATCAAAATTGTTCGTGTTTCTTTTCTGGAAGTTGCGCTCCCTGCCCGGCACGACATTGTCGAACACGATGTCAACGTGGTCGTCGCGGTCGCTACGGGCTTGCTCGTGGTTGAAGCCCAGAGCATGGCCGATCTCGTGGATGGGCGTCCCAGGCTGACGAAAGTCAGGGGAAAAGTTGCGATGAATGACGTAAAGACGCAATAAAGTTTAGATATATATGGATAAATCTAATGATGTTAAAGGCAAACTGGAGTCAAAGTAAGAAACGAGGTGACTCAAATTTAAGACAATAAAATTCAAGCATGCAATTCTAATAATGACATGAGCATGTTAAAGTGCTCGTAATAAAGAGAATCCAGATATTGGCTAATAGAGCTCTGCATGCACTAAATTTTGCTGTTTCATTTCAACTTTTATCCAAATGGCAGAATTTATCTTTTTAATATATTCGTAACTTTGTTCGGGTATTCGGAATGCAATTAGAGCAAAGAGAACACGATGGTCTCTTTATAATCAAACACTTACAATTCAACATATATTCAACCGTTTCGACTGATATTTAAAATGAACGTGAATATTAATGCACCTAATGGACTTGGTTATCACAATAAATTGTAAAGGCATAATAACTCGAACAAGTAATCTAATTAATTATGCAACTGATACACAGCACAAGTGTACATCGAGAGAGAGAGAAAGCTTCAATAAAGGGAGCCTTATTCACTCGCGTTTTAGTAATCTCTTATCATTGAAATGCATTTGCTTTGTTGATTGATGACAGAATATAATTCAGTAAATATGAATAGATATCAAATAATGATGAGGACCTGGTGTCAGATCAGTTTCAACTTTCCCAAATTTACTCCTGAATATGAAGTGCATTTCAGTTATATCAAGCACTGCCTTACATTGCTGAAGCATCCGGGAGCCAGCCAGACTTTTTGGCCGGACCTCGAGAAGTAAATGCGGCCCACGTTACTAGCGCAGCCGTTGCTGGTCACGAAGATGAGATGCGGGCTTTGCTTGGGCTTTGACAATTCGTGGAACCTGATGCAGGTGTGGGATTCCCAGGCACTGATTGCTTTCTTCACGCCGGTCTTGCTTACGAATTCTGACGAGAGAAATTTTGGCATCAAATCATACTAAGATCGTGAACAAACATCGACGGCTACAGTGTGTTTTTGCGAATTTTCTCAATCAGGAAATCGGTTAAACAGGATCTATTATCAATTTCGTGTACTGAGTACGAAGGAAACGAATTTCGAATGACGACTGAGTTGCGAGTTAGGTTCTTCAATTCGGAACCCAGACTACCATAAAAAAACGCACCGTAAATTTGTGTATTGACAGCATATATGGCCGCGTGTTGATTGGAGGCTGTATTCATTATGAACAATTTCCACCTCCATATCCCCTTCCACCTTCCCTGGTCGAAACAGCGGTTAGTCTCTAGGTGGCTGATAAACTGCCAATAGGAATTTGATGCGAGAAGGGTCGAATATTAAGAGCAACTATTCAAGAACAATTATGTCACTTTAGTGTGTGGTAAAGAATTCCGAGATTTGATTGCCTCATCTGTCCTCACAATCATTCCCTCGACTATATCATCAGAGTCGTCCAAAAGATGTCCACAGAATACTTGATTTTTTAAGGGATAACAGTAAAATATGAATTATTAAGATAAAAGGTCCCTGTAATAAGCAGCAAAATTAATGCAGATTTAGTCATGTGTGGTGCATGGAGGAGACGAGAGTAAATAAAATAAAAAACAGCCAATGGAAAATTTTAATATTCTATATGTTTGCAGATTGTTAATAAAAAGTAAATCTGTCTTGTAAAGTTCAGAATCCAATATGAGTTAGTGCTGTGTTAGAATAAGCTAGCTCATTTGATTGAAGCATGGCCTTAATATATTCTATGAAGAGATGTTTAGCATAAAAATTTTTCTCTTATTCGGACCACAAAGATCATTAAATGCAATATTTTGGAGTATTTTTTTCTTCAATTTAATTGAAAACTTGTTATGGCAGAGGCACCTACCAGCCTGATCTCTATTAAGGTTATCGTATCGGGGATAGAAATGTACAATTAAGATATGGAAATAGAAAATAGTTTTAATTACACATAGATCTGTTTAATTAAAACTATTGCATTTCTCCCGATCAGTTCCGTTTAAGGGAATAGGAAGGCATTTTGCATTTGATCTTACTTCCTGGGTTCGATGACTAAGATTGTTGAAATTGATGAATTCAACACCCACCGTCCCCAAATCTGTAGTCGACATTGACGATCCCTTTGCTGTTCCTCGGCCACCAGAAGGCATTGTTGTTGACTACCCGCCTTGCCATCATCTGAACCTCCTGCTGAGGGGTGAGCACAATATCCCCTTCATAGAGCCCATTGTTCACCTCCAGAGGGTTGCCATCCGTCTGAAGGTTAGGAGGAGAGTCTGATTATTATAGACATATATAGATTTTGTCTAAAATATAAATATTCTTGTATAATATAAATATTTTTTGACAAATATGACAGTTTTATAAACAAATATTATGTTTCAGTTCGAGAATGGGCGCATAAAATTAACACAATTTGAATGTTCACGTCAGCATGTACTAAAGTTATCAGATGAATGGATGGGATTATGAATTCTCAGTCAACCTACCATAAGCTTTTGCTAGTTTCTTTGTTTTAATATTAGTTTATTTCAAAGATTAGCACTGAAATGCGAAAAATTTGTTGCTGAAACTTTTATTATGCTAAACGAATAATGAATAATATGCGTTTAAAATAACTTTTCAAAGACCACACTTCTAAAGAGGCCGGTGTCTCCGATGTTACAAATGTACAATGAATTTCTTGTTTTATTTGTAAATATCAAAAATATATATATATGAAATTATTTTTTTAATGTCTAACAAATTTTGTAATTTTCTATTCTTCTTATTCTGTCAATTGATTCATGCATTGTCTCCGACTTTACAAAGTGTGCAAAATTTCAGATCGATTGGACAGGTTGAAGTTTGTTAAATATCGATTCTATGATTTGCAGCAGACAGACAAACAAACAAGAAGTGAAGTTAAAGAGAAGTGTGGTAAAAAAGAGTATCAATTTTTACTCATGGAAATCACGAATTCATTGCGATCCTCCGATAAAGACAAAACAGATTCTGGCTGTGACTGCACGAATAGAGTCGACACACTGCGACCTACACGGGCTGGCCTCTCAACCAAAAAAATTCAACATGGACGTTTTTCAATCACAAACAATGCTTCGATCAGAACTTCACATTATAGAAGTTATATATAGTTTATAGTTATGGAATTTATAGTTTACATTATAATGCTGGTAATCAGACTACCATATATATAGTTCCAAATTGCACAACAAATTTAAGAGCATATCAATTATTTGTATTGGGAAAATGTTATTACGCTCTTTGAAAGTGAGTGAAATTCTCAATATAGGTGTGTGTAGGTGATATTCGGTAATGAGTCACGAAAGTTACTATCGGAAAACCTCAATTCGAAACGGTTCAATTTACTTCAATGATATTCTCGTATTCATATGACTAGTGCGCAGTTAAGATGTGAATCAATACCTGAGTTAAGTGATATTCATTGTTGAATTACATCCCGTTATTGCCGGAAGACCAAAATCTCATTGCTAAATTAATAGATTGACAGCTACAAAAGTCATAAATCCACAGCGCGGTTAGGAAGTTGAAAATCGCTTGAGAGAGGCGATGTTGATGTTGAATGAATGAAGTTATTTAAGGAAGTTATTACTGGAAAATAAAATTTTCACTCAGAGGCCCGAGGTGCAAAAGGACAGTCAGGAGACACAGGCAAGCACTCAGAGGCCCGAGATGCAAAAGGACAGTCAGGAGGCTCAGGCAAACACTTAGAGGCCCGCGGTGCAGAAGGACACTCAGGAGGCTCAGGCAAATACTTAGAGGCCGGCGGTGCAGGACAACCGAGCAACTGTGGCAAATACTTAGAGGCCTACTATGTAAAAGGACAGTCGAATGATTCAGGCGGATACTCAGGAGATTTTGGTCTTGTAAGGCATTTGCCCAACTCAAACAATGGCCACTCAGTTGAGGTGTCCGTCGGCACTTGCTTTTTCAGCTCACTGCACACAAATTTGCATCCGCAACGCCTTAACACGAAATGCCCTCCACCCAATTTTGTCATTCTGCCAAACCTTAATGCTATAATGAAATTGTAGTGTGTATCTCCTACTATGGCATAATTTGCTTTCGATATGGAAGAGTACATAATGAGGTTGCAATATTCTCTGCCGGACTTCCAAAGTCACATTAAAAGCTTTATATCACTGTGCAAAAAATGAAAACCAACAGAGTCGACAGAGCCAATCGCCAATTAATTGACGTCATTAGAAGTCACTAAATTGAACGTTGTTGAAGTGCAGGAGCAATTTCTTCCGCGCTTATCACGGGGTACGATTGATTCCAGTTACAGGTATAAAGATACAATAAAATTTATTAATCAATTTTTGTTAAGAACAAGTTTCACAAAATCAATATTGTCGAAATATGAATAATATGTGCAATACGAAGTTGTGTTCTACTTTTAGTGATATTTATACCGCATGATACTAATACAGCCTTTCTTCCTTTTACTGCGAGTCTCCTGCATTTTGTGAGATAAAATATACGATATGATATGTTATCTCTCACACCCCGAACAGACAATTGACATGAGTTAGATATGCAGCTCTTGTAACCCGTTGAGCAATAACCCACTTTGAAGAGTCCCTTTATAATGCTGTTTTTAACTTGGTTTTGTTATGCCAATAATCACAAAGTTACCTCTTAAATGTTAAGGTAACAGTAGAGATGCGTGAACATTTATTGCCGTTCTTATTACATAATCACACGAGGCGGAACTGAGTTTTCAGGTCGAGAATGGGAAGTCCATGAATTATAGCTTGGCTACAGGTCAGCATTCATGCAGCCGGAAAAGTACCATACTCTTAAGTGGACAGTCATCTCACTGTTTTATTTCTCTTTATTCTACTTAAAATATATGATAAATCGTGTTATAGCTTCATCAGGAGGCAAAATTGTATAGGTATGCATTGTTTTTATTATATTATCGAACATTGTGTTTCAAACTAATGCAATTGTATGACATGATTTCTAAGCTGTTTGTACTCACTTGCACGATAAAAATCTGTCAATTGCAACTTCATCTTCAACTCGGGCAGTTGATGTTATTCATATCTTATTCTAATACTTCATTGTTGTGCACTGTTAATCACGTTCATTCCGTGAGATTTGAGAAAGAGACATGCAATTACACTATAACAGCGACTCATTCCTTTTATTTTCAAAAACTGTTCTACAAACTCCCAATTATACCAAAAGCCTGTTTTCCTGCAATGTGTTCAGTTGATCATAAGATTATCATGGCCTCTGTGCATGCACAATATTCCCGAATACATGAATAATTTCATCGTTTTAGTTTATATCTTGATCATTCAATTAAATTTTTCGGACGACCATATTTTCTAAATTGCGTGCGTTTTAATATACTTACTTTAATTTGCTCCTAAAACGAATAACCATGTCACAAATTACGAAAGCAGCAAGCGATTTCTAGGCTAAAACGATTTTGCGACTTTGGAACCTTCTCTCGTAATTTGATGCTCTAAAGAATCGAGCAAGTATCTCGGCAAATTTCACTATTTATATGCGGTTTATTAGCGTTTCTGTAGTATTTTTCATCAAAGCATATGAAGAGTGCGAAAAAAGTGTAATGGTTGGAGTGTGGCACTTTAGCGGATAGGTTATAATGATGCAGTGGACATTGCTGGAGCGCTGGCGGTGGTGCGTTATAAACCCCAACGGGCGTTCACTCTTGCTCACCGCTGCGCAGAAAAAGAAGACAAAGTTTTCAACTGAGTTACTAGAACCCTTGGCCTCAACTGATCTAATCTTGGAATTGCTCAGGTTTAGTCTTAATAAATTCGAGTGTTTTTTTCAATAAACTTCATCGGCTAAATATATTCAGGATGATAAAGTACTGACGAGCTAATTAATGTTTTTAATGACTATATACGAATAGAAAATGTTTAATTTTTATGAGCTCCTTTTTTATGATGGAGCTGGACTCCGAAACGTTTTCAATATCGATATGGTGAATTTTCTTGGCGTTTTCTTTGCTTTTAAATTCCTTGTGAACTTGCGATATAAGCAGACTAATGATATAAGTACTTTAATTTTTATGTATTGAAAAATTATTCTCGTCTCAGAAAAGCGTTCAACATAAATCCAGATAAATGTATTTTTGTTGTGGTTGCAATACTCTAATTTTTATTCAATAAGATTTGGCTCACAAATTTCAAAACGAAACAAGCGTTACTTCATCCATTAATGTGCACTGGATGCTAAGACATCAGCTGTGTGTCTGTGCGCCATGAATACGAGCAGTTTCTTTGGACAACATACAACATTTATTTACGAATTCGATGTTCATGAGGGTTGCAATGCCTCCATGCTGTCACATCTTGTACATTGTACAATGATTTACCTGAATTTCTTTAGAGGGTCATGGAACACGAACTCCATTTCTTACCATTTTTCAGTGTTCCAAATGAAGATAAATTCTGCTCGATATTTCGACGGCGTAGTCTTGGGATAGTAGTTGACGAAATTTAGGACCAGCGACCTGCCGGCACTTTTGAAAACCCGACCTGGGGCGATGTCTCGGCCACAAAAGCTGAGCAAAAACACAAAAATACATTCATAAGTTGCAAAAACTTACACACTTGAAGCCCAAGATTAAAATTTTCCTAAGATTTTATGTAACAAAATTGAGCCGTTACTGTTTTACATTGTATTATATATTGACACTGCTACTGTTCTCTAATGTATCAATGAATAATACGCATGATTGCTATAATTTGCATTGAATCCACTACTATGGACCTATTTTTATTCGCAGCATGTTAATCGTTTAACTCATTATCAGAAATTTTTACGTAAGTGATAAGCTGGGCAGAAATGTTCGAAACACTCCAGAATTGAAAGTTCGATACAAACAGTCCAATCTCCATAACGCACCGGAAAATAGAAAATGCTGCCAAGATATAACTAATAGGAATTGTGATTTGATGAAGTAGTAAATTGATCAGTCAGACACGCCTGTAGATTGAGGATGTCGTCCTTAGGAAGTATAGATAATATGGCAATTCTGGTAACGTCCAGTGAAATTTCATTCCGCCAGTGCATAATTTTCTTTTAGATTGTTGTCCTTTGCTATATTATATCACTTACAAGCAGTACGAACACTTTAATTTTTTAACCTCTACGTTTTTATATTATGTGCATGAGATAAGCATGAGATAATTGTGAGGTAATTAAGAGATGATCATGAATTGATTATGAAATTATCTAATGCTAAGTATTGCTAAGACATGATTATGAGACAATCGGGACATGCACCCAATTTTATAAATCTACCAAACCTAAATGCATAAATAACATAATTAAGTTAAAATAAAATGCATAAATAACATTATTACTGACACGTTGGAGTCGATAGGTGGGTCCTGGAGGCGCAACGTGAGGCTCTGGTACAGGCATGGCACAAGGCTTTCGGGGCGCATAACATAAATAAATTAAAATTAAATACATAAATAACATAATTACTGACACATTGGAGTCGATAGGTGGGTCCTGGAGGCGCAGCGTGAGGCCCTGGTAGAGGCAAGGCACAGGGCTGTCGGGACGCTGCATGAGGACAAACTCGGTGAACACCAACTGCACCTTGTGGCACTCCGGGGCCTTCAGCTCCTGGATGTACTTCCCCGTCCCTGGTGTCGGAGTATCAAATGTTAGAACATGTGTACTGAAGTATCTCCTGGTACTGCATTGATGAAACTTTTTAACGAAAGTACATTAATGAAGTATATTAATAATGTACAATAAAGGAGTACATTAAGGAAGTACATTAATGAAGTACACTAAAGAAGGAGATTAATAAAGTAAATTATATTAAAGTACATTAATGATGTACATAATATGTGAATATTTAAGTATAATTTTAATATAACCTTCAAAAATCTGTTCTCAGTGATTGTACAATTTGTAATGAGTTGATTAAATTTAGGAGCTAAGGATGCCTTTTTATGTTTTTTTCTTTCTGATGTTTTTAGATTTAAACTCGAAACCGATTAGCTAGGTTCGAATAGCTGAACTGAAATGTAATCAAAATACTTTATTTTCAAATGTCCTCGTGCGTGATTTCACTTATTTTGCGTGACAAGCGAGCAATCTTTTATATGCATAGCTCGTTTATTGCAACAAATCTAATGACAAATATGCTAAAGTCTTGTTGAAGTTTAAACAAGAGAAAAGTCACACAAATGAGCTAATTTCTAAAAGCCAAGAAAAAACTGCAATTTATTTCTTGTAACATGAAAATACTACTGATGCTACTGCATGAGTGCTAATTAGCAAAGCAAAACTAAATACCAGTAATTTTAACAGAGTTTTAAATATCACTCATTTTTTAGAGGAAATATCTGCTTCAATAAGAATATTTCACGACGTCAGAGGGTGAGGTCGAATTTCAAATTTGACGGGCCGACCCATAATCCGTTACCGAGCCAAACAGAATAAATTGTATTAGATAATTTATAGAACACAACACGAGATAAAAATAAAGTAAAAAAGCTCAACGCAATAAATAATTCATGTCACCTGTAGGTAAGTTATCGGGATATCCTGGCGAGGAGATCACGCCCGGTGTCGTGAAACGCGCGCTGTGTGGGAAGCGCTCTTGCACCAGCGTCTCTGTGCAACCACGTTAAACTTCAAGGTAATATATCATCCAAGTCAAACTTTAGGGTAATATATCATCCAAGTCAAACTTCAGGGTAAAATATCATCCACGTCAAACTTCAGGGTAATATATCATCCAAGTCAAACTTTAGGGTAATATATCATCCAAGTCAAACTTTAGGGTAATATATCATCCAAATCAAACTTTAGGGTAATATATCATCCAAGTCAAACTTCAGGGTAATATATCATCCAAGTCAAACTTCAGGGTAATATATCATCCAAGTCAAACTCCAGGGTAATATATCATCCAAGTCAAACTTTAGGGTAATATATCATCCAAGTCAAACTTTAGGGTAATATATCATCCAAGTCAAACTTTAGGGTAATTAGGGTAATATATTATCCAAGTCAAACTTCAGGGTAATATATCACCCAAGTCAAACTTTAGGGTAATATATTATCCAAGTCAAACTTCAGGGTAATATATCACCCAAGTCAAACTTTAGGGTAATATATCATCCAAGTCAAACTATAGGGTAATATATCATCCGAGTCAAACTCTAGGGTAATATATTACCTAAGTCAAACTTTAGGGTAATATATTATCCAAGTCAAACTTCAGGGTAATATATCACCCAAGTCAAACTTTAGGGTAAATGTTGCCAACCCTAACAACTACGAGTATTAAACACAGTGAAATTATACGGAACTGAAATATACAGTAAGGCTTACCCGTGTAGTCCCCGACGCGCGTCTCACAGCGGCTGCCTGAGGTGCCAGGCGGGCAGAGACAAGTGCAGGCGGGGCCCGTGTAGCCGTCGTTCTGGCAGGGATCCTCTGCCAGCTGGCAGTCGTTGAGGAACGTCTCTGCAAGACCGATCAGACACGACGTATGAATTTAACTGATCTAATCAAGAGCAGGCTTCATAATTTTACAATGTTATAATCATGCGACATATGCATGTATGATTGTATGAAAATATCTATAAGGGAATTTTATAACCGGTGAATCCGTCGTTCTGGCATGGGTCCTCTGCCAGATGGCAGACGTTGACGAACGTCTCTGCAAGACCGATCAGACACGACGTCTGAATTTATTAACCCTTGCCAGGCTTCATGATTTTGAAATATTATTATTATGCGACATGCAGGATTGTATGAAAATTTTGTATTTATAAGGAAATTTTATAACCGATGTAGGCGTCGTTCTGCATGGCATAGGCCTTCTGCCAGCTCGCAGTCATTGAGGAACGTCTTTGCAAGACCGATCACAAATGACATGTAATTTTTTTACCATTGCATAATTCTGCAACATTATAATCGTACCCAGTGGAGGTACAGTGATACTTATGTAAATTACCGAGTCTCAACCCAGCAAGGGTTGAGAACATTTTGTAAATGATAACCTAATCTAACCTAGCGATTGCAGTCTGTTGCGTGAAAAATATTTCTGCAACAGGCTTCATTGCAGCATTAAGTTAAAGTACAATAAATTACTTGTGCAGCGGTACTGGAGGTTGACGAGTTTCAGATCCCAGAAGGAGAAGTCAGCGCGGTTGCCCAGAAGAGATTCTGCCAAAGGGTTCTTCGGCACGATGGTGGAAAGGCCATTTTTTGAGAAATACTGCAAAAATTTTTAAAACAACTATGTACGCTGGAACTGATTCAATGTAAAATAAAGTGCAGAATTTCAATCAAAAGTCGTAAATTGTGAACTTGTCGAATCTTTTGTTCACTCACTTACATTACGCTCGCTTATAGTATAAAATACTCCCACTGTTTTAATTGAATCGCCAAACAATTATTTTTGGGTACACAATATCCTTGCNCTGTCTCTTATACACATCTAGATGTGTATAAGAGACAGACTCAGTACTCACTGCAGTGAGTGACAGAGAGCGCATTTTCTCGTCGACGAAAACTTGAGGTCAAGGGCAGACGGACGGACAGACAGACAGGCAGACGGACGGACGGACATGGCGAGCACAATAGTGCATTTTTTCCATAAATGAGAAAATGCGCTAAAAACGCACCGTAAATTTGTGTGTTGACAGCATATATGACCGCGTGTTGATTGGAGGCTGTACTCGCTATGAACAATTTTCCGCTTCCATAACTGCCTCTTCCCTGGTCGGAACTGCGGTTAGTCTCTAGGTGGCTGATAAACTGCCATTAATTGGGCATTTGAGGCGAAAAGGGTCGAATATTAATAGCAACTATTCAGGCCTAATTATCTAACTTTAATGGGTGGCAAGGAATACCGATATTTGATAAACTCATCACAGCCACTTCCTCAACCATGTCATCAGAGTCGTCCAAGAGATATCGACAGAAAACTGTAATTTCGTTTTTTTAATTATATGACAGTAAATTTTGAATTATTAAGATTAAAGGTCCCTGACATAAGCAGCAAAATTAATGAAAATTTAGTCATGCGTGGTACATGGAATATAGAATAAAACGTGGCCAATGGAATATTTTGATATTCTTTATGTTTACGGATTGTTAACAAGAATTAAATCTGCCTGGGAAAGTTTAGAATCCAATAAGTTTAGAATCCAATAAGTTTAGAATCCAGTGCTGTCTTAGAAGAGGCTATAGCGCACTTAAAGCACAGCCTAAATATTTTCTATATAGAGATTTTTGTCATCAATTTTCTCTTATTCGGACCAGAAAAATCATTAATTGCAGACATTTTCGAGAATTTTTTTCTTCAATTTAATTGAAAACTTGTGTGAGAGGCACTTACCAGCCTGATCTCCATTAACAGGTTATTAGGGATAGATACGTGTCACTAAAATATTTTACTACGTCGCCTGCCAAATAACGCTATTGCATGTCACCCGCTCAGTTCCGTTTAAGGGAATAAGAAGGCCTCATACGACGATCGAAACTGTTACATTTGATCTTACTTCTTGGATTCGATGACTAAGATTGTTGAAATTGATGAATTCAACACCCACCGTCCCCAAATCTGTAGTCAACATTGACGATCCCTTTGCTGTTCCTCGGCCACCAGAAGGCATTGTTGTTGACTACCCGCCTTGCCATCATCTGAACCTCCTGCTGAGGGGTGAGCACAATATCCCCTTCATAGAGCCCATTGTTCACCTCCAGAGGGTTGCCATCCGTCTGAAGGTTAGGAGGAGAGTCTGATTATTATAGACATATATAGATTTTGTCTAAAATATAAATATTCTTGTATAATATAAATATTTTTTGACAAATATGACAGTTTTATAAACAAATATTATGTTTCAGTTCGAGAATGGGCGCATAAAATTAACACAATTTGAATGTTCACGTCAGCATGTACTAAAGTTATCAGATGAATGGATGGGATTATGAATTCTCAGTCAACCTACCATAAGCTTTTGCTAGTTTCTTTGTTTTAATATTAGTTTATTTCAAGGATTAGCACTGAAATGCGAAAAATTTGTTGCTGAAACTTTTATTATTTCAATCGAATAATGAATATTGTGCTTTTAAAAGAAGTTTTTAAATACCACACTTCTAAGAGGACGGTGTCTCCGATGTTACACACGTACAATGAATTTCTTGTTTTATTTGTAAATATTAAAAATATTATGTATTTTTAATTATTTCTTAAATGTTGGCATAAATGATCAATGATGTTGGCAATATTTACAGTCAAATTTTGTAATTTTTATTTTTCTTATTTTGTCAATTGATTCATGCACTTTCTCCGATTTTACATAATGTGCAAAATTTTTAGTCGTTTGGACAGGTTGAAGTTTTTTAAATGTCGATTCTATGATTTGTAGCAGACAGACAAACAAACACGAAGTGAAGGTAAAGAGAAGTGTGGTAAAAAAGAGTATTAATTTGTAATAATAGAAATACCGAATTCATTGCGATCCTCCGATAAAGACAAAACAGATTCTGGCTGTGACTGCACGAATAGAGTCGACACACTGCGACCTACACGGGCTGGCCTCTCAACCAAAAAAATTCAACATGGACGTTTTTCAATCACAAACAATGCTTCGATCAGAACTTCACATTATAGAAGTTATATATAGTTTATAGTTATGGAATTTATAGTTTACATTATAATGCTGGTAATCAGACTACCATATATATAGTTCCAAATTGCACAACAAATTTAAGAGCATATCAATTATTTGTATTGGGAAAATGTTATTACGCTCTTTGAAAGTGAGTGAAATTCTCAATATAGGTGTGTGTAGGTGATATTCGGTAATGAGTCACGAAAGTTACTATCGGAAAACCTCAATTCGAAACGGTTCAATTTACTTCAATGATATTCTCGTATTCATATGACTAGTGCGCAGTTAAGATGTGAATCAATACCTGAGTTAAGTGATATTCATTGTTGAATTACATCCCGTTATTGCCGGAAGACCAAAATCTCATTGCTAAATTAATAGATTGACAGCTACAAAAGTCATAAATCCACAGCGCGGTTAGGAAGTTGAAAATCGCTTGAGAGAGGCGATGTTGATGTTGAATGAATGAAGTTATTTAAGGAAGTTATTACTGGAAAATAAAATTTCTAGCAGGCGTAATTCACAGCTATGAAATTTATAATTTAGGCTACAGTGCAGTTGAGAAGCGAAGGTATTTTTCGAGTTATAGGCAATATTCGATGATAAATCATGAAAATTAAAACTGGACATCCCAATTCTGAGACAATTGAACGGACTGGGATAAAAATCATCCAGCCGTTGTCTAATTGGGAAGTGATTGAATTTCTCGAGTTAGGCAATATTCGATGTTGAATCCGGAAAGTTAATTCCAGAAAACCGAAATTTGAAACAACTGAACTAACTCCCATGATATTCGTATGGCCACTGCGCATTTAAATTCACTTCGTTGAGTTACGCAGATTAAATTCATACATCCACTAAGTTCTTGAGAAATGAACAAGTTGCTCAACTGAAATAACCTTAATTATTGAATCATCAAATTTATTACCGGAAATGTGGGCTTCGCAATCTCCAAACTGACCCATGAAACACAGACAGCATCTTATTGATGTGATTAAGATATTTGATCAAGTAATGTTCAGTGAGAATAGTGGCAACTTACGTGGAACAAGAAGTTTTCCTTTGCTGCCTCTACCGTAACCATGCAAATCACCACCAACAGTAACTTCCTCATACTTGCTGATTTATCAGTCATCTTATCAGTGATGACCAAGTATGAAACGTCGGTATTGAGGGAAAGTAATCGAAATATTTGTACTCAGAACTTGTACACAGAATTCAGCAATGTCTACAGTCGCTTCACTTCAGACAGGTTTCTTTATTTAAAAAATTTAATAATATTTCTGGGACGTCGATCTTAATTTCAGCGCCTCAGATGGCGATGTTAGCTCTAACAGATGTGTTTTCGAATGAAGTACCACTTGATATGCGTTGCTTGCCTCTTAATTCCACGAATGCAAAGAGCAAGATAGATTCGTCTCCTGAACTGCAAAGTGGTTGTTGGCTCGTAATCATTTTATGGCATACTATAATAGACTAGATGGCAATTCATAGCGCTTCGCAGAGGTCACTCTTCACACATCGAATAATAATGGAAATTTTTTCAAAAGTTCAACATTACTTGCAAATATATTTCATAGAATAATGAAGCAATTAAAATTAAACAGAGTTTTATTCCACTGCTATATGATCGTATTGCAGAGGCCAAATGGCTTATGGGAACTCATTTTTCTAGAGAAGACTAATTCAATTATGCAGCATCGATTTATTTCACGGGTGTAAGTGCTCTTGCATTCAGTAAGTGCTCTATACAGAGCATTATGCGGACATGGAAATAATAAAAAAAATAGGTTATGGTTTCGAACTCCTTTGTATATCTACATTGAATTTCAAAAAAATTAAACAAATAACATTGATGCAGCTGTTCATAGCCCTTCAACGGCCTATTAAAAAACTAGAAATCTTCGCTCAGAGAAGATACTTGGTTCTATTGGTGCCTAAATATAAATGTAATTAGTGCCTCAGCTGGCGCACGTCTAACGCTACACGAAGAAATGGTTTTATTTCCTGGCTCGCAATAGTCTACTCATTTTTTTCAAGGATTTTTTTTTTTGTTTGTTTGTTTCTGGAATTAAACTTTCCGGGGCAGAATCTCAACACAAGAACTCTTACACGATAACAATTTCAATACATTCAATAAGCTACTACTCTATTCGTCCCTCAATCTTGGATATCTTCATTCGCTATTCGAAAGCCTTTCAATGCAGCCAAATTTGTTCCTACACAAAAATTCGGTTTAGACAAATTTTTTTACTTCACTGACTATCAATTTATCAGGCCAAAGTGTTAGAACTTTGTTCATTCGATTCAATATTTCAATGCGCAAGATGAATGTTTGCGGTAGCGGCAATATACAATGATGAAATAATATGAGTTGCAACGGAGATGAAAACTGTTTATAAAACTAATGTAGATCAAGCAGCTCCTTCACACTTGCACGGTTTTTACTGCCATCTATTTTGACACGTAATATTATCAGGAAATGCTACTGGCACCAATAGCTTGACACGTCAGCACATGAAGCCATAAGTACCTCCATTGTACTTATGGCGTCATGATTATAACCAATTTAACTCTATTATTATGATTTCAT